AAGTCCAAATCTAGGAAATAATTATAAAAATACTTCATTTATTCAATTAGAACTTAGCACATGAAACCACTGGTCTGTGTATGCTAGCAAAAAATCCAAAAAAAAATACTAAATATGCAAGAATGTAATATAATGTGACCATGTAGATTATGACGCTGTAGGAAAAAAATTTAATGTGGAAAGACATTAACAACAAACACTTTCACAGTGTATAGTACATGGGACTAATTTAGTAAAATATGTGTGTATACATAGGCACAGATACATGGATGTGTATGTATACATATATGGGTATGTATATGTAGGGATAGACACCAAAGTGTTAACAGTGGTTATCTTTCAGTAATGGGATTCTAGTGTTTGTTTTTTTCTTTCCCTTTGAGGGAGCCTTTTCATTTTTTAAAACACTTACAGTTTGGATCTTTAGAAATCAGATTTTTTGGTAGTATTTTTCCCAATTTTAATATATGTGATAAAATTGGTATAAAGGACGGACATTTCAGGAATCTAACTATACTTACCTATTAATACTTATCTTCCAGTTTTCCCTTGTCTTTACTTTGATATTTAATCAGGTTGATCACCTACTCGTTTCCTTAGCCAATATCATATATAGTATCTTCCATACCTCTAGCACTATCTACCGCCATCAAAAACTTCGTATATAGTTGATGGTCTACTTCAGTTCCCTCAATCCCCACATAGTCCTTTGATCACAGACTTTTCCATATCATTTCCCTGCATATTTGTCATTTGAATATATTCTTTCTTGCAATATTAACTTATTTTAAAGGGAGTAAATCTTTATTCAAAACAAGAATGTAAGTGCATTGAGTGCAGTTAGATCATTGTTTTCATAATTTTTATAATATCTACCATAGGAATAAGGACCCAATTAGTATCTAACAAACTCTTATGGAATTGAGTTTAAATGAATTAAACTGAAAAAACACTGAGAATCAGTAAATTAATATTTTAGAGTAAATAACAAACATTGATACATAATTCAGATGTAATTAATATGGTAAAATTGGTAAACAGTTTTAATGAGGTAGGCTGTTCCTACAGCTTCTCGGAATTTTTCATTTAATCTCCCCATATGTAGTGTATATATATTTATATTTATACACACACAAACACATTGGTAAAATTACTTGTTTTAGTTTGCTAGGATTGTCTTAATAAAGTATCATGAACTAGGTAGCTTAAACAACAAAAATCTATTGTCTCACAGTTCCAAAGGCAAAGATATCCCCAATCTGGATGTTGGCAAGATTGGTTCCTTCTGAGGGCTGTGAGTGAGAACATGTTCCATGACTTTCTCCTCTTTGTGATTCCATGGCTTGTAGACATATTGTCCCGATCTCTGCTTTCATCTTCACATGGTGTTTTCCCTGTGTGCTTATTTTTCTATGTCCAAATTTCCCCTTTTTATAAGGACACTGGTCATAATGGATTAGAGCCCAACCTAATGACCTCATTTTAACTAATTACAACTGCAAGGACCCTGTTTCCAAATAACCATATGTAGTGAGGTTCTAGCAGCTAGGACTTCCACATATGAATTTTGAGGGAACACAATTCAACCTATAACTATGCATAGCTGTGTATTTGATGTTGTGATTAATAACATTCTAAGACTTCCCTCAAATACCTAAAAAATGTTAGAGAAGATAGGGCATCTATTCAAAATCAGTTTAAAGATGGCTATATTAAAATAACGTCTGACAGTAATAAAAAATATTTTAGTGAGAGAATCGATTCTGTCTGGAGTGCTTCATTCATCCGTTGACTATTAACAGTATGGGATGTCTGCTACGTAGATACACAACACTTTTCTAAGCATTGGGGATCCAGTGGAGAACAAAAGATGTAAAGGCCCTGCCCTCATGGAGCTTTTGTTTTCATGGGAAATAATTTCAAATGGCCTCATACACTTCGTTATTTTTCTTAAACCTTCCGAAAATCAATGAAAACTGACTCTCTCCTGAAGAGAGTGATTTCTTTGTCAGCCATTTTAAGTGGATGAGAACCTTTACGTGATGTCGCATGTAAATAAGAAATTAAAAGGCTAGGGTTTGCCTCCTCTGCTGCTTTTCTACCTTACATCATTCCATCATACTTTTCTGCCTTCCTTTCATACTCACTGATCCTATAAGACCCATGGTCTTTGGCTATAGGAAGTTTTTTCTCTTTGTTTTGCTCATTTTTACCAACATCCCATCCCTGTTCCCTGATTCAGTAAAGTCTTAAGTACCTAGATTTTCCCCTCTTCTTTACCCCAGGTTCTGGCAACAACCTGTGAGCTTTTAACTTTCATGTGAACAATCCATGGGACAGTCGGCCTCTCAGAGCCCAACCTAAACATTTGTGCTCCCCGTAATATTCTGAAATTAAAAAAAATAATAATAAAAAATAAAATGCCTTCTCATCTGCAGGAAACTTGACTGTCCTCTTAAGTTACCTTTTCTCATTTCAGTATCTAGGACCTTACCATCGCTTAGAAATGCTCCATGTCTAACACACTCAGTTCCCACATCAAACTCATGCTCCCAGCCTTGCCTTTCACATCTTCACAATCACGTCTTACTTCCATGTCTCACTTTATTTGCCTCCTTACAGGAGTCTTAGCTTCCTAATGCTGTTGTGATATGATAGCCAAAACTGGATGCCTTAATAAAACAGAAATTTATTCTCTCAAAGTTCTGGAGGCTAGAAGTTTGAAATTAAGGTATCAGCAGGGCCCTGGTCCCTCTGAAACTGTATGGGAGAATCCTGCCCTCCCTATTCCAGCTTCTGGTGGTTTTTGGCAATCTGCTGCATGCCTTGGCTTATAGTTGCATCACTCCAATTTCTGCTTCTATCACTGCATGGTTTTCTCTGGGCTTCCAGATTTCTCTCTTCTAATAAGGATAGCAGTCACAATATATTTAGGGCCAACCCCAGTCCAATATGATCGCAATTTAATCTTAGTATGTCTGCAAAGACCCTCTTTCTAAATAAGATCACACTTACATGTATAGGGTGTTAGGACTTGAACATATCTTTTGGAGGAACAAAATTCAACCCACTATACCTCTACTGACTCCACAACTGCTTTGCCATTCAATTGAAACTATTCTAACCTAGGTTGTCAAAGTTCTTATAGTCCCCAATTCAAGGACAATGTGGAGGCTATATAATTCATGGCACTTTGTTGATCACTTCTCCATCTCAGAATATTTTTCTTTTGGTGTCTGTGACATGCCAAGCTCCCATTTTCCTGTTCCTGCCTAAGCTCTGGTATGGTCTCTTCTTCCTCTTTTTCTCCCACCCACA